GATCGATGTAATTAAATTTTAACCATTAAAGGTCGACGAAGTGAGAGGATAAAAGAGGTCGTGTGTATCTCCAGTAGGGTCAGACTTAATAACGAGTAAAATGGCATCCATACTCTCAAAATTAAGCTTTTTTGCCATTTAGTAATATTTAAAAATATAAAAAGTTTTAATAATAAAATATCGTAACAGATAACGCCACCAAATGTTGCCGGGAAAGTTAATTAAGCATTTTCTAAAGTGTTTAAGAAAAGAAACTGAATTCGATTATGCTATTACCATATATACGCGATTGTTTACTCGTTAATTATTATTTATTTTAGACTATTAATTAATTTTAAATTTATAATTTAAGAAAGAAATATATTCAGTATTTGTTACGAAATCGTTTTTTAATCTATTCGCACGAATGATTCTTTCCTCTTTTTCTTGGATATAATTTTAAAAAGGACACAAGTGTTTTCCTTATTCGTGTTTTAAACAGAATTTTGCAATGAATAATTTTTTATTTAAATTAAGGAACGATAAGGACAAAATAAGAATGGAAGAGCAAGCGGGGGTGTACACTATCCCATATGAAACCCAGCAAATAGGAGTCGATNAAAAATTCTTTAATTAGTCTGTGGACAAGGAGACCGAATTTTGCATTCTGTGAAAACAAGTAAGATTGGCTGTAATGTAATAACCTTAATCTTCCCTATGGTTACTTTATTCCCAGCAACGCCGGGCTTTCTGCTAGTACAATTATACACAGAATTGCGTAAAACAATTGATAAAATTACAAATCGTTCGACACTGCATATTTTAATATCAAAAACACTTACTAAAACACCTTTTCTTGCAGCCGACGTTTATTAGAAAAAACTTTTAAACTTTTCGGTCTTGTTAAAAGACCTTTCTCAAGAAAAATAAAATTTAATAAACAACAAAATTGTAAATCGAACGCTTAGTACAAATAAATCTATTTGTTTGTTTGTACTAAGCGTTCGATTTACAATTTTATTGTTTATTAAATTTTATTTTTCTTGAGAAAGGTCTATTAACAAGACCGAAAACGTTTGAAAGTTTTTTTAATAAACGTCTGCTGCAAGAAAAGGTGTTTTAGTAAGTGTTTTTGATAAAATTACGTAGTGCAGAAAACAACTAAGGATTTTTCGACGCTGTTACCCAAAGTTCACATTTCTAACAAACAAGAAACAATAATTATTACCTTATTACAGTTTACAAATATAATTATATTAGTAAATACATTTAGTAGAAAGGAATAGAGGGCTATCCGTGTCGAGCAACAGACTTTACCCTATTAGAAGTCGGAAGGAAGAGTTTAGAAAAGTAAGAAGAAGGAGCAGGAAGAAGAAACAAAGAAGATAGGAAAGTGTGAAGAAAAGAGCAATCAGTGGGCCCCTGGGACCCCACGGGCGACTGCATCGGGTCTTTATTAAACTTAAAAAACAATATTATATACAGAAGAATGTTTACCATACATAATAAACACAGAACTGCCCGACAATGTGTTAACTTAAATACTAATATAAAAACCAATTTAACCATTTAACAATGCGAACAGCTTTTTCGATTATTTTTTTCGGATATACACATGACAACAGTAGGATGAACAAAGTCATGCTACTTGCATGAAAGTGAAACATAATTCGGAAACAGAATGTTACATACAGTAACAGAATAAATACATAGAATCATTGGTTGACAGATAATTGCCATGAAGGATGCTTTTCCATTAGCGATGCTAACCGGGAAGTGACACCATGGCCAGTCCTGCCCCAGTAATGATACCACAGCCAGGCGCAGTATGTTGGCACCGACGGTATCGGGGCTTAATCCAAATTAAGATAGAAAGAACCGACCATGGGTCCCAAGCCAACTTGCAAGACTATGTACAAAATTGCGCGGGTAGCTTTGCCACTTTAGTAGTTTCCAATTGTTTAATCTTTTTTAATTCCTCCGTTAGAACCTTCATGTCGTCTGTCGAGCAAGTATCCACAGCTATTCCTCCATTGTTTAAACTTCTGATACGCTTAACCCCAATTTGCAATCTAGTTGGGTCTATTTTCTTTTTAATTATTTCTTTTATTTTTTCCGGGTCGTCTTCTTTATTTTTACTATGTATTATCACTGTGAATTGGGGTCTAAGTACCTGAAAGCTTGTCTCTGTTTGCTTTGTACTCAATTTTAAAGTCTCACTGTAGCTAAGTGGTGGCCTTTCTTTTGATGACTCTTTTGAGATGGCCTCATTAATGTTCTCTAATTTTTCTCTTACCCCATTAATATTCTCTAGTTTTTCTCTAACATTATTAATTTCCTCCATAGTTTTTTCTGTATTTGTTTTTATTAAGTCCTCTATATCAGTTTTATGTTTACCTATTTCTGTATTCTCAACTCGTTCCTTAAGATCATTGACCTCTTCTTTTATTTCTGTTATTGCTTTCATCGATCTTTCACTATTCTCGTTAATAACTTTTATTAATTCTTCTCTGGTAAAATCACTGTCGAGTTACGTTAAAAATACGTCACCAAAGCCTTTAACATTATTAAAGTCTTCGATACAAAAATGAAAATTTGTGAATTGGCAAAGAAGTTTGATCTACCGGAATCGACGGTCAGAACAATTATTTAAGGTAAAGAAAAAATTCTCGAAGCTGTAAAAAATGCTCAATCTTTAAATTCAAGCATCATTCGTAAACGTCACAGTATTATCGCTGAGATGGAAACAATGTTAAAATTATATTGTGATAGTCAAATAAATGTGAAAAATTGTATAATAATATAATTTGTTATACGTATGTATTATCTAAGATTTTATTAAACATTTTTTTTTCTAAATTATTGTTTTCTTTAGTCTCCGGCCCCAATTAAAAATAATTTGTATGTATTTATATGCAAAATTATACCTCGACTTACGCGAATTCCACATACGCGGTTATCGCTCGGTCCCACCTATCGCGTAAGTCCGGGGTATGACTGTATGCCATTTTTATCACTTCTAGCAAATTAATTAAGATTATAATTTCATATATAGATAAAATGATTCCTTATTAAACGGAATCAACTAAAATATTTCCAATTATTTTATACACAATTCTACTCATTATTTTAATTTATAATTTGTGATTATTGTTGCATTTTCTGCTTTATTCTTCAATAATTCAATTAGTATTTTAAACTTTTAATCTTTTATATTACTTTAGATTTTTGCACCTGTAATTAAATTTATTTAGAATATGTTACGTATTTATAACAGTTTAATCAAATAATTCATCTGAATTAACTGTAGAAATGTGCTTGGTCTAACTATACATATATGAAAATGTTCAGGAATATTTTCTTCTATCTTTTTAATAGAAATTTTAACAACGTTATGGAATATCGTAATTTAACTAAATATATATTCGATGTGAGATTATAGAATGGTTAATTCGACTGCAGCAACCGGAATGAGATATGTTTTAAATTTGTTTTAATTTAATACATTTTAAAGTACTATTTTGTCACAAATAATCATTCAATTTTACTTTGTTGGAGGTAGATAACGTCACCTCCTTTGCAAGCGATTACAAACATGAGATCTCGACACATCCCACTACGAAACTCACCTCGACTTCCGTCACGCGTCGAGAAGCGTGGTGATATTAACGCATATATTGGAAGGAATTTCTCCATAACAGGTGTTCGCACATTTCTAGTTCTTGCTCACCTACAAAAAGACTCCTCTTTTTGTATCCGAAGCTCCGGCGAAGTTCTCCTACATTCATAAATCCCTCAAGCATTGTACTGTACATTAAGGTGATATACCTATGTTATGTAAAGTCTCTCTTTCTTTCTAGATTAATTTTAAATAGTGAGTTAATTTTAGCAGTATTCATATTTTGTATTCAATATTATAATTTTGTAATACATTGGTGTAAATCAAATTCCATACTAATATTATATCTTCTTTTTGTTTAATAAATTTACAGTTTTATTATAAACTTGTTTAGATTAATTTAAGGCCTACTTTCATTGTCGATTCACCTTCAAATTACATACACCCTACTAAAATTTCGGCTACTCGGAATGAGATATCGAGATTTGCCCTTGTCAGTGCTGACATTAGTTGAAATGAACAAGTCGTGTTCAAACTATATATGATAGAGCGTTAACCAAAAATTTCCCGTTCTCACACTAAAATGACCAGTTTATTTTGTATTTAAACATAAATTTTATGACGTTTCTCTCTAATGGTCTAATAAAGTTTTAAGCAAGATATCAAGGATTATCTTGATTTTAGAATTCGTGTAATAATCGAATGTATGGCACGCGAAAGGTGGAGCGAGACGAAAAACACCGCTTGAAAGTCATTCTAATTTCTTGGTGTCGTGCCTCGCGAATTCCTTCTAACTGGTCAAACTGTCGACAAGCAATATCATTTAAGAATTTTACTTTGTTTGCGTGAAGCAATTCGTATAAAACGATCCGACTTGAAAAGGGAAATCCCCTGGAAAATGCGGCTGCTGACAATGCTCTTCGTATTCGTAAATCTACGGTCTGAAATTCAACAGATATGGCTTCGCATGCTTCGTGTTCACCTAATACGATACGGTGTGGTTCTACCCGTTTCCTAGAAGAAAACATCCGCTTGAGGGATTCCACGAAATCAGCTATAAGGCTTCTTTCGAAGATTAGAAAAACGTTGGCATATGCACATGGAAATGCAGAATTACTTTTATGAAGACAAAAAATTTTCATGAATTAATTCGATCTTTACCTGTTATTAAACCATCCCCGACACTTTATGATCAATGAGGTATAGTTAAGTGAATTCTGGCTTTAAACTGTCTAACTGGTAAACGTTTTTACGATATGAAACCTCTCTAACCTCTCTATATATAACATAATTCTTTTAAAATGGAGAAAATGCCATTGTCACTGTTGTGATAAACTTTTTGTTTTATCTTTTTTCCTTTGATTCATTTAACAGAATATTTGAAAGAATTGCTGAATAAAATATGTCCATATCGAAATTTTACGACAGTCGTGAGGTATTTGTAACGGGAGTAACGGGATCTTTGGGAAAGGCAAGTATTTCTACGTCATAATTTTATACACAGATATTTCAAATATAACTCATTTCCGCTTTATCTTTGTAATATTTGAAGGTGCTTTTAGAGAAATTGCTAAGGTCCTGCAATAATGAAAAGATTTACGTTTTAATCAGAAGCAAAAAAGGAATGACAGCGGAAGAGAGGAAGATGGAATTGTTTCGTTCTAAAGTAAGTTAATATGTAATTATTCTGGATTACATTTATTTCATGAAACGTAAACTATTGTTTGATAACTTGAAATATTACTCATATCTTCTGTAAGAGTTACAGTTCAAAAAGAGTTACTGTTCTGTAAGAGTTACAAAAGAGTTACTGTTACAAGTTCTGTAAGAGTTACAAAAGAGTTACTGTTACAAGTTCTGTAAGAGTTACAAAAGAGTTACTGTTACAAGTTCTGTAAGAGTTACAGTTTGAAAATTCAAATGTACAATTAACATTTATTAAATTTTACTCCGAAGAAATGCGATTTTCGCTGAAATAATTGGAAAAACACGTGATACTTCCTTCGTACAAAGATTTTGTGCAAAGTGTAGACAGAAGTTACGGCTTATTTATACTTGCTCCTTCTAGAGAACAAACCAGAAAATGAATATATTGGAGCATATTACGCAACATTCAATCAATGTACTGTATTTGTATTTCTAATGTAATGAATGTTCGCAGCACAAGTACGGTCCAACGTGTGAGCAAATTCCTGGCATGCCCATGCCTAGTATTGCACCATGTTCCCTACACCATAAAGACGAGTAACATATTCCCTCATTTTAAGAATAATTACATGTTGAGTTTTCACGTACCATTCCAATTTCACTTTCGGTTTCTAGAGGTTGCAGTTCGATGTATACGTAAACCTTTACGCCATCAAAACCATCGAGAGAATGGAGGTTTCATTACAATACTAAAGTTAGTGTTTTTAAAACAGTATTACAGAGGCAGAAAAGATGTAAGTTGGAAAACAGAACTGCGTCAGTTTATTTTTAACGATCAGTGACATAATCTATATCTATATCTAAATACAGTAGACCCCCCTATAACGCTTAGATACGTTCCACGTTAATCGAATTTTACGTTGTAGGAATCATTAAATACATGAGCCAATCGCAGCCCGACACGTGTGAAGTTTACGGACTAAGGCTGTTTGAAAGGTTTTCTTCCATAAAATTAACCGATTCTAGACTAATTTCACTTAACATTTCCAAAACACGTATAATTTTTAGGAATAATCCGTATAAACTATGCTATAAACAGAAAACTGTAGGATTACTTACCGAGTGTGCACCGTTCGACTACGCCGTTGCTCAAGCTTGTTTTCGTCGCGGAACAGCACACGAAACGGCGGCCGCGATTTCTGATAACGAATTTTTCGCAGAAAAATAACTTGACCTTTGGAGACATCATTAATATAAATAATTTTTATGGCCGTTGAATAAGAAGTGTTTCTTTCACAAGAAATGTATAAAATTAGTGCTGTATTAGACTTACGGTACCTAATTTACATACTGTGCAGACGATAATAAACTCAACTTACTAGCCTAAAATCTCCGTAGCGTGTTGCCAGGCGGCAGAAAGCATATATATAATTATAATAAAGTTACAATAAATTAAGTTAATATATAATTATATATACAGTACCTAATTTATATATAATTAATATATAATTATATGTACAGTACCTAATTTATATATAATACTGTACAGACGATAGCAAACTCAATTTAGCCGCTAGAGTCTCTGTAGCGTAGCGCAGGGCCGGAGGAAAGTAGTTCAGCTGCTCATCCACTATTGGTCCAGATTCTATCAATTTTGGCGCGATTCGAGTCGGCGACGACGTTTTAGGAGTTCCTTTATACGAATATTGCTACAATTTTTTCGCTACGTTATAGGAATTTCCGTTATAGGAACCCACGTTATAGGGGGTCGACTGTAAGTCTAATACAGCACTGTAATTTTATACATTTCTTGTGAAAGTAGCATTTCTTATTCAACGGCCATAAAAATTATTTATATTAATGATGTCTCCAAAGGTCAAGTTATTTTTCAGCGAAAAATTCGTTATCAGAAATCGCGGCCGCCGTTTCGTGCGCTGTTCCGCGACGAAAACAAGCTTGAGCAACGGCGTAGTCGAACGGTGCACACTCGGTAAGTAATACTACAATTTTTTGTTTATAGCATAGTTTATACGGATTATTAAAAAATTATACGTGTTTTGGAAATGTTGAGTGGAATTAGAGTCGGTTAATTTTATTGAAGAAAACCTTTCAAACAGCCTTAGTCCGTAAATTTCACACGTGTTGGACTGCGATTGGCTCATGTATTTAATGATGTCTACAACGTAAAATTCGATTAACGTGGAACGTATCTAAGCGTTATAGGAGGGTCTACTGTATATAAAAGTACTTGTCCTGACTGATTGAATGACTGATTCATCATCGATTAGAGGAAACCGCTAAACCTGAAGAGGTGAAATTTGGTACACACTTAGGGTATGTCATGAAAACGCACACTAAAAAGGGATTTTTCGAAATTCCCCCGCGTGGAGAAAGAGAGAAAATTAACGCTTAACCGGAAGAATGGTTTCTACTGTACTATTTTAGATGCGATTTTTCGTTTTCATCAACTTTTAGTCTTCATTGAGTGTTTAGGTGTATCAAATTAATAACATTTCAGACATTGTTATAAATATTTTTATCTATTTCGATTTTAAATTCGAATTTGTTATTGCATATTGGTTCGATTATAAAACGATTGTATACGTTCCAGAAAATTGATCAAAGGGAAAACAGTTCGTTTGATTCTCGGCAATTTTCATCATTCACAGTTGTAGGTCTTATATAACAATTACTATGGTTGTTGAAATACTGAATATAAATGGGGTTCGCTTGCAAAAGTTCTCGCGGGCAAAGCCGCGAGTAACAGCTAGTATATATATATAAAATGGACGTGTTTGTTTCTATATTTCACATTTTAGTTGAAACTACACATCGCACATGAATGGTGTTTGTGTGTGGTAGTAGCTCCAAGTCTCCCATCGTGCATTATGGTGGTTGCGTATCGATAGCTATAAGGGTGCGGGAGATCTGGGGTTGAAAGCGGTTGACTTCTAAAATGTGTAACAATGGAAGTGTCAACAATGAAAGTGTTAGCAATAAAAGTGTTAACAACGGAAGTATTAACAATGAAAGTGTTGAGTAACAAAGGTGTGCAAGATTTACAGACGCAGATGCGGTTTTTTGTGTTTTTGCTGGAAATTGAACATATTTTTAGACCCATGTAAAAATTCTCTAATCAATCTGAAAACAGGGGACCTAATGCTGGCATTCTGTGAAAACGGGTAAGATTGGCTATAATGTAGTCTTAATAGTCGAATAGTTGAAAATGTTTTGCAATAGACAAGGACCATTATGTGTGAGTAGTAGAGACGTGTGACGCACACGCTTGAGTTGATTTTTCATAAGCAAAAGTGTATGAATAACAGAAAATAGTAGAAAGTGAAAAGTGAATAGTGAAGTGCGAAAAGTAAAAATATACAAAACAACGCCAAAAGGTAAGAAATAATTTCTGCGGTCTCGAATCATATCGAAACAGAAATAATCAAACAGAAGAGCAACTTGAAAATTTAAGGGAAACACACCGAATCAGAAGAAGATTACGTAGAAAAAAATAAACAGTTTTTTATGTAAAAAAAACTATATTACATATAAATGTACGAACAAATAAAAACCCAGCGAAGCGGGTACTTGCAGCTAGTTACAAATAAAACTTGTAAGTAAATTCTATACGTCAAACGAAGATCATTCTGAACGCTAAAAGAATTTACTGTATTCATTAAATTTTAAATAATAAATATCTGTTGGAATGTAATTGTTGTGTAATAAGTATGTCAACGATTAATTATTTCTTCATTTTTAAATAGTTTTTTTAATTTAATTTTTTAGATGGATCAATTATAAATACAGGACGCATCTTAGTAATAAATCATTACAAAATATACGCAATAAATTAAAAAAGTTAAAGTTGAAACGACAAATACATTCGTAGAAAAGATTTTGCTGAATTTCATTACTACATTATTTTAGTTTTGTCAAAATTACGTACATTTATTCACAAAACCGGCGTCACTTTAATCAAATTAGCGTAAAAGCAATCACGTGTATGATAACGCGAATATACTTAAATTTTCTTATATTATTTTAACAATAAATTAAGCATTTACAATTTTTTAATAAAACCCATCTCTACCCTCAAAATTAAGCTTTTTATCCATTTTTATAACAGTTACGTGTATAAAAAATGCGATAACAGATGGCGGCACCAAAATTTTAAAGATTTCAGGAACAGTTGAGCAACTCGTTGCTGATTTATTTAATTAATAAATGTCTTCGTGTTGTCAGAATTGAATACATTTTACACAGAATCGAACACAATTATGACGACTCAAATTTGTCTGATTTTTCTACTCGCTTACCTTACCTTATACAATCAAATTTTTTATCGAATTTCTAATATATTCATTATATTTATAAAAGATTTTCGAAAATGTTTTACTGAAAAATCCGGAAATTACGGATAAAGTTGAATGCATCGAAGGGGACCTCACAAGAGAGAACTTAGAAATTTCCTCGTGTCATATGAATTTGATAACGAAGAATGTTTCGGTGGTGTTTCACTTGGCCGCTTCGGTTAAATTCGATGAACCTTTTCGGTAAGTTTTACTCTAATTAAGCAGATCATTTTGAGACTTGCCCATTTATTTTAATTTATTTTGCAGAGATTCGTTCGTCAATAACGTAGAAACGACAAAAAATGTGGTAGAAGTTTGTCGTCAAATGAAAAATTTAGTGGTAAATATTTGGTAATAATTTGATTGCAGCTAAGTTCTTAACGTGCACGACATTGAATTTAGCACAGAACTTTTTCGTATTTATAGTTTAATTTTCATTTCTAAATCAAATCAGCTTAAATACTTCGTATGTTTTGCGTTTTTCGCTGAAATAACACAAAATATTTTTCTATGTCTTTGTAATGTTTACCGATGTCGATTACAATTTTTATTAATAATTAAAAATAATTTTAAAAATGCTATATCGTTAGAATAAAACATTATTTTCAATACTCATTCCGCTTATTGTTCAGAACAAATTTTTTTGCGGATTATTGAATAAATTAAATATAATTTCAGGCATTCGTACACGCATCTACCGCTTATTCTTTCTGCGACAGAAAGGAAGTGGATGAAAAAATCTATACAATGGCCAGAAGTTACGAGGAATTTAAGAACATTGCAAAGTACTATATTATGACATTTTAAATGCAATATTTTTGCAATTTAATTTTTTAAGTTTTTCAATACGTTTGTTGTGTTGATACTTTTCTAATTGTAGTGTAGAGAATTACTCTTCGGTAGAGATAACAAAAGAAAATCTTTTGGAAAATCGACCCAATACTTATACTTTAACAAAGGCCATAACAGAAAATTATTTAAATAATTTCTGTAGAGATTTGCCTGTAGTAATTGTAAGACCTTCTATTGTGATTAGTACTTGGAAGGAACCTTTTTCCGTGAGTATTTCTATTCTACGTCAAAATACATTATACGTTTGTGTGTAATTAGTACAAATTTCTTTTTTAGGGATGGAACGATGGCAATAGTGGAACAGATTATGCAGCAGCAATTGTAAGTGTATATAAATATTTCTGGGAATATGGGAAGGATTAGCTATTTTTGAACTCGGATATTGAAAATTTATCCGGGTATACAGATAAATCCTTGAGAGAAAATTTTTATTTGAGTAATACCATTTACAGTACTAATATACAATAGGTTGTATTAGTAAATTATTGTATTTTTACGTTCCTCTTATTCTTCTAATGTTCGCTCTTTCCAATTTAACTCTGTCTAATCACACTGACTGAAGGAAAGCCACATTTACGTTCATGAATCAGGAATTATAGTTAGAATTTACTTAATTTGTTATTAAGTGGATGCTTATGAGTTAGCTTCTAATTCTAATTCTGTGTTTTGAAGCTTTTTGTTTCGATGGTCTTTTTACAAGTAGAATTAAATTCTTCTTCTTCTTTAAAAACATATTTTAGTTTCTAATAAAGGTAAATATTGCAATAAGCATATTTTATTTCATAAAAATTTAATCCGTGTGACACGATTAATGTCGGGTACTCGAAACAGTATTGGGTTCTACTTTCAGGGATTGAAAGGAATACTTCGAAGCATGTTGTGTGACGAAGCGAAAATTTGTGATTTCGTTCCATCGGATACAGTGGTTAATTTGATGTTGGCTGCTGCTTGGAGAAAGTCAATAATGCCTCATCGAAGGTAGGTTTTATGAATATTTCAATAAATTAAAAAAGGCGTCGTCGTTACAAAGTTTTCTCATTTTAAGTACTCGCTATACAAGGAAAAAAATTCAAACATTTGCATTTAAATTTGAGCTATATTAGAAAAGATGTAGCTTAATCAGAGTGTATGTATGAGCTATGGTATCAGCAAATGTATATAAATTGGTAAAAAGTATCCGTTGAACATTAAATTCTCTCATAAACACGCATATTTGGGAAANAAAAAAATTCAAACATTTGCATTTAAATTTGAGCTATATTAGAAAAGATGTAGCTTAATCAGAGTGTATGTATGAGCTATGGTATCAGCAAATGTATATAAATTGGTAAAAAGTATCCGTTGAACATTAAATTCTCTCATAAACACGCATATTTGGGAAAATTCAGAATAAAATTGAAACGAGAGTGCGAAGTGATAAGCCACGGCAGTACAAATTCTCAGAAATTTAAAAAACAAAAAGTCTATCGAAAAGATCCTTTACAGCGATAAAATCTCATTTGTAATATAAGTTTAATATATAAAGGTGCATCGTTGTTATGTAGACAAATTATGTCTTGTTAATAGTTGTTACTTTATAAACTTAAATACAAATACCTGTTACTTCGTTTCTACATCAAATGGTATTTATGTACCAGAACTACATTTATGTAAACGAACAAACTTAAGTATTGCAGGTAGAATCAATTTGTTATGCAAAATTATGTTTATAAATTATAAGTGAATAATAATTCAGCGTGAGCTTTACTCGTCGTCCCAGTTTTTTCACAACTCCTTGGCCACTTTATCTGATCAGAAAAAGTTTGAATGTCTGACGAATTTTTGATATGTCGTCAAGTATTTCGCATTAATGGAAATGTTTGCACAACGCTTCTTCTGTTTCTAGCGTTTTCACTATAATATTCACTACCGCTTTAAATGTATCTGTAACCTGCTTGGCTCTGTCACCAGCAGGTGGTATTGAAAATGTAATGCTTTTTCTATGCGAGAGTATTTTGGGCAAATTGCTTTAAATACAGACGAATAGCATAGAACATTTTGCATTAAAAATTTTTTATTTTTTTTTCTATAGAGTTATTTATGTTGATATTAGTGTCAAAAAATAACGCAGAAGACCTTTTAATTAAGGTGTAATTGGCAAAATAACAGCAATTCTTAGTATGGGATGAGCGAGGTGTTGTTCTATTAATTTAAAAATAATCGCTAGTTGGCTCGTTAGCCTCCGACATATTTGTCCCTCACACTTAACTCTATATAGTTTCCACTCCACCGTATCTGAACCATTGCGCCTTTTCCAAATTTCTCTGCAGCCGCATTAACTGCAGGGAAAGTAATAAAATTGACACCAGAACTATGTTGGTATCTTTCGATTTTCTCTTAAATGAAACTGGACAATATTGAGTTTGCCAAATTAATGTAGAAATTTCTATGAACAGAAAACATTTAACAGAAAAATATAATTTTTTTTCTAAAATACTCAGACAGATATTACAAATTTACTACTTTTAATTTCTTATATAAATTTTAAAATAATCTCTAGACATATTTCAGAAAAAATTACTGTTCTCTTTCAGAGAAGAAATTGCAGTTTACAATTGCACTTCAGGATCCATAAATCCTTTCACTTTGCAACAGTTTTTCAAATGTTTAAATATTCATTATTGGAAACATCCCTCGGAGAACACATTTTTATATCCAACAAATATACCCAAGAAGAATTATTATTGGAATCGTGTATGCATTATGACGCAACATGAACTTCCTGCAATGCTAGCCGATGTATTACTAGTTGCTATTGGGAGGAAACCAAAGTATGTTCTTTGAAATGTGCTTACGTATTCTATGGCATGTTAAATGATATTCGCATTGTTTGCAATTTAGGATGATGAAAGTCTACGATAAAGTTCATAATAAAATAAGCACGATGGAATACTTTTCTACTAGAGATTGGAAGTTTAGCACTAGAAACGTTCAGGAATTGCTGGAAAGGATGTCGACGAAAGATGAACAGGTAGGATTAATTTTATTTAAAGTAGGCGGCATCTTATGACAAGTACAATTGACTATCTACAAATGATAGTGTCGGGGATAAAGAGGAATTTTAGAGTCAACGAAATATTGTGTTACGCGAAGTACCATCGTCTAATGAGATATTAATATTTAAATATGTTTTAAATCCGTACGACGTTAACAGGTATGGAAATTTAAATATGTAACATATGGAAAGGTAATGCGCTAAGTTACGTGACCTGCGTAATCAAACAGTAATCATGCGTTACATTGAGTGTTGAACACAAGATTATGTTATTAATTAAACACTTGGCTTTTTCCATTTTTATTCAATTGAATAAAGATGGAAAAGGTCAAGTGTTTAATTAATAACACAATCTTGTGTTCAACACTCCATAAATAGTAAAACACGGTTTCAGAAAACAAATCACAGACGTTACATATTTTCCGATTTATTTATTAATAACATTTAGAAATCGTGGTATTTTTGAAACCGTGCCAGTAATTCGAACACAAATCAATTATTGTATTTGTTTAGACACTTGGAAAATCTCATCATTAAATTTTATTCAGTTTATTTTATTCAGAAATCGTTTGTAACATCTAGTTAATAGTTTGATACTGGTTTTGGATGAAGTGAATTCTCGTTTACATCGTTATTTCTAAGAAAATCCTTTATTAATTTCTTATTAGAGATCCTGTTATACATCTTCCCGAAATCTGTAAGTAGTTTAAATAAATTCGTATACATTTCCACTGGTCGATAAACTACAAATATTCATTCTATCGTTGATCTGTCTACAATATATTCAAATAAACTACTTTCTAAACTAGTCGTTCCTTCAACTTTACATCTCACAAGTGAAATGCGAAGATGAAAAACAAGAGAACTGTATGTGGAAGAGTACATCTCGTCTGGTCTAAAACTTGTTTTTATTTTTTCAAATAAAAACAAGTTTTAGACCAAAAAAATCTTTTATGAATATCAAATTTTAGGTCGAATGGGCGAGCGGTGAAAGTGTCACCCTATCGCTCTGGGGACTCGGAATCGAATCCGGACGATGTTGAAAAGTTTCCAAGAATTGTTCGGAGGATGTTCCTTCCGAATATGTCAGATACCGTCTCTAACCACCCAGCCGCTTCATTGTGAGCCTGGCCGAACTCGTAATGGGCTGGCTACGAGTTGACAATGTTGGCAATACGATAAACAAATGATAAACGTGCTATTTTACTTTTCATTTTTAACTACTAGAAATTACGAATAAAGCGGTTGGTTGTAGCTACATAAATTAGAATTAATGTTCGCCCTGGATCTAAGCAGTGGTTCTTAACCTATCTCGAGTGTTTCACGAAAGAAAATATTTTAAAGTATTTATTCCCATTGTATTCGTAGACAATTCATGTTATTATTTTATTCAACATGTAAAAGTTTATTAGTTTATTGCTTCTTTGTTTCCTGAGAATAGTAAACATGGAATAGGTTATCAAGTTTTTGATGTATTGATGCTAATGCTCAGTGTAATAAAAAGTATAGCTATATTTTTAATTTAAATAAAATAATTAACTTTTGTTTAACCAATAAAACATTTCGGTAGAAAATTTCGAATTGAAATAACGTGACTTTCGTATGTAGTTATAAACGTGGAGCAAAAAGCAAAAATTCTTAACCAAGAAATATTTGCGTGAAATGAAGAATTTGAGTAACATATAACACAGTTTGTACGCATATATTGAGTAGTAACACAGTGCAAGTATTGATTATATGTGTACTCTGTTCTCTGGTAACTCAGCCCGTCTGACCGGACACATTGATGATGTAGCATATTTCATAGTTCCATGTCCGAGAATACTTCAAGCTGTCCGAAACAAAATAAAAAACTTTAAAAAGACACCCACTTACCATCATTGTTTGACTTTATTCGCTCCATTTATTTTTATTTATTATTATTTTTTATTCATTCACTTGATTCGTAAATATTAAACAGTGGAAAATTGATATAAAACTCAGTGCTGAAGCAGGTTTATTGAGAAAAAAAGCGTATTTGGTGTCATGTCAGGCACAGAAATACGTTTGGATGAATACCATGTACACTAAAATCACATCGATCCCCTTACAAATGAAGTGATTTTCTATGATAACACGAAACATTTTGAACCTTTCTTGACAAAAATTCAAAAGTTAATTTTAAATGTTAAAAAGAAAAATTTCACAAAATAAACACGACAAGAAAAATCTGCTCGTACTCATTGAAAAATGTCCATTATCAAATATTGCTGTTTACGTAAAATACTTCTTATAATTTGTGTTCATATCTCAACATTACCTTAATATATTTTACAAATAAAACACTTGTGTTGATACAACATTTTACTGTTATTGTTATTTTTAATTTATTGTATTACAGTGACTTACTGGTGTCGATAATACCGATCATTACGTGTATTTTCTACATTTATTTTAGAAAATAATTAAAGTTGAAATTTTAAAGCACATCGCATCAAAACGCCATTAACCATTTACATAATAATGAATTTCTTTCATTTATTTACATCGGACATTTTAATAACGAAAAGAAAAGACGAATGTAAAAGATGAAAGCAAAAAATTACACTATTTGCCAATAAAATCGCAACACCACGGAGGCGGCAGCAACAAACGCGAGAATTGCATAAAAGATACAGTATTGTTGGGTAAGGCAAACGATTAGCAATTGAACGCATGCTTAACTGTTATTACTGCCAGAAGCGGCTACTCTGGGTACTGATTTGATCTCGCTCTTTAACTCAAAATTATCTGCCAATATAATTATGTCTTTTACCCACATTATATCGTAAGTGTACAGTACAATAAATACGACTTTGCTATTTGCTTTCGTTCCCGGTGTAGCATTTTTTACGACCAGCAATGTATAATCTGTTATTGCCATTTCTGTGAACTAATAACAAATTTGATAATTATAAGTATTTTGGACGCATTTTATTTTTATAGAAGCTGGTTGAATCTGACAGGTTCGAGTAGGGAATTTATCGAGATGCGACAACGGCACTAATTCAACAACAAAAATATATGCGAAATTTAGTTGTGTCGAATGTAAAAATACAATACTTATAGAATACGAAAAATAATCGAAATTATATTTCAGTGTTTCGATTTTGACATCTCAAAACTTAATTGGGACCGTTACATGGAAGATTACTTTCTGGGCATCAGAAGATTTGTTTTGAAGGAAGATGACTCGACCATCGCTCGAAGCAGAAAACTAATATTAATGTATGTTTTACATTCTTCCGTTTCTAAATAATACAGTATCTAACGCAATGTTATCTCTTTTACAGGAAATATTATATTATTTTACTCGCAAAATGTGTATTGCTTTTCGGATTTCTTTACATCCTGAGTTTCTATTCATTCTAATTTTTCCTAGATAAAGTTTATTGGTTTTTTAAAGTTAAAAGCTATTATATCCTAGTATTCTTGTAACAATTATTACTCTGTCACGATATAAACCATAGAATATACTAAGAAAATGTGATTATCGATGTACCAGGAAAAAAGTGATGTCTAAATTTTTGTGTCTAATTAAAACCTTCAAATCGATGTGAAATCTTTAATATTTCTTATATGATAAATAAAGCAATTGCTGTTCAACTGCATATAAATTGATTTGAAATTCGTTGTATAACAGATGAAGAACAAATTAAAGCTCCAAAATGGACTTTTCACACTAGTTAGCTATTTTATGTTATTCATTAATTTTCATAAAAATAAAGCAAGTTTGTTCATTATCATAATGCCAAAGTTCCTTCATCCACATAAAATCATATTCGCTTTTTCATTATCACGGAAGTAATTTTACATTGAGGGAAAACTACGACTTCAATTAAAATTACGATTAAGCAGAAATAAAAATAAGCTTTTTCTAACTGTTGCATAGCTTGTTTCTAAGTGTCTTAGTTATTTTAAAAAGCTTATTTTGCATTAATTAATTTTAAGTGGGGAAGGCGTAAACTTCGTGAATTGTTCATCAAATGAAGAAACATGATTTAATTAAGTAAATTTTAAAACAGTATAAAACAAATTCGGTAATTGCAAAGAAAAACTTCTAATACAGCATTAGGAGAAATTCTGTGCAATGATAAATAAAACCACCATAAAATGTAACTTTTTGTTAGTACAAGGACCTAGTTCATTTGTTGTAGTTTGTTTTAACGCACTTAATTTTCCTAGCAAGAGAAGTTTGTGTTCTGAAGAACTACCAAAATGTTTGAATCAACCCAAATTCTTATAAGAAAATTCATAGCTTTGAGTGATTTGTACGCTTTCATGTGATTAAAATTTAAAAATTGGGTTGTTAAGATAAAGTAGTGTACGATGTAACCATATCTTATGTTCTATCTTCGGCAATGAATTGCGATCCTCTATGAACGAATTGGAGTCATTTTCGTACGGATCAACTCCACCACAAATAAAAATTATTACTTTTGTACCAGTCAGAGTCTTGACCTGTAAGAGTTTTTCAATAACCAGCTAAAAAATTTTTTTATCTTCTATGCGTGATAAATGTTCAGACACAAGCCTAAATTATAACACCTCCACAAACAGCTTGTCACAAATATGGCACAGAAGGCAGATCTTGCAGTAGAGAAAACATATAGAAAACTGGCATGAACGACATTTCACCATGACGATTTGGTCACGTGAATTCATGTTCATGCAAGTTCTCTATATGTTTTCCACTTCAAATTAGTGCTGGAATGTTAAGCCCGTGTACATCATACCTTTCCGATAGCAATGGAGTCATTCCAGTCATCCATTTAACTCTTTGCGGGGAAAAGATTTCAATTGAAATAACGTGACTTCTGATGTTCAACAGAAGTTATGTGTAGTCCATCAGAGCCAACTGCCACTTTTTTTTCCATATCTGGACTCGGCTTTCATCTATGTAACTACGATCTCGTGATTAAGGAAGGACGGATGGATGAACAGAAACACAACAGTGAAAATTTGTAAATCTAAAATTTTTTCGAATTGCAGCCCAATTAACAATTAAGTACTCGAACTTAACGTGAATTACAACACTTTCTGGACGGTAATTTAATTTCGAAATACCAAAAACTAAATAAAAATTCATAGAGGATTTTCAAATTAACATTTTCAGTAGCATATTTTAAAATATCAGAAAATAGACTACAGTTAAATTGATAATCCACAAAATATGTTGCTTCGTGTCTTGCAGATATTTGTAAAGTTATCGACGATAAGTTACGCAAATTATATAAACTTTACGAAGAAAAGTGTATCGAACCTATACTACTTATGCAGCCATAATTTTCTGTACGTCGACCCTATATAATAAAAATTGTCTTTCAGCTTAATCATATATATGCCGAACATATGCATTTGTTTATGTTCTTCTGTCCGTTCGGAGTAATTGCATGATAAAAGGGAAATGTTTAATCAGCACAACATACTTTATATTACCTCGACATAGACTGTTTTTTGAACTTTTGAGTTTATCATCATCCTATCTATATGTCAAAATTGAATTAACCTTAATTTTATTTTTCAGATTTGATTTTCTTTTATTAAATCCAACAAAACTTTTGAAGAAAATATTATGTACGTTTTACAAGTTGTAAAATTGTGTTGTATGTCAAAATCATTTCAAAATTGACACGAAATAAAACATTGAGAAAGAGTCAAATCAGAACTTTGTTGGACCACATTTGTCCCGAATTACATGAACAAGTCGACTTTGCATACTTTTAATTAATTTATCAATGATATTCTGCCCAATTTTTGACCAAACCTTAAATAATTCTTTTTTGTACAATGATAAAGATTTTCTATGGATAAGAAGAATACAGCGGTCTAATTCATCGCACAGATGTTCTGTTATTAAGTTTAAGTCTGGTGACTTGGTGGCCATTCAAAAACTTCGATATCATTTTTATTGAAATATTTTCTGAGAAACAATGCTGTACGATTGGAATCATTGACTTCTTGAAAGACAAATTCATGTTCAATCCCCGTTTTTTTCGCTGTTGCCACTAAATTGTCTTCAAGTTTCTGTTTGTAATCTACTGATCTCATGCGATCGTGAATTTGAACAATATTGCCCATTCCAAACCTTGAAAAACACACCCAAACCATTAAGGTGAGTGTTTTATTGTTCCCACAGTTTTATTTTTATTGAATACTTGAGTTTTCTTTTTCCAACCAAATTTTTGCCGTTTAGTATCCTGCAAACTCTCGTTTTGACTGATCACTCGAAATAATACTGTTCCAAATCTCTACGGGCATGTCCACAAATTTTTTGGCAAAAGCCAGTCTTTTCTTCTGATTCACTGCTGAAATCATTGGTTTTTCTACGATCCGCTCTTCCGTGGAAACCCTTTTTATTTAATCATTTATTTCTTTAGCTATTATAAAACAGTTTTTAGTGGCCTCACGGTAAATCATTGCATCTTCTCTTGATGTTGTGGCCTAAGAGCGTTGTCCTGGTGGTAAATTTCTCACTGTACTGTTATTTAAATATTTTACCATTACTTTTCTAACACCTTCTCGTGATATTTGATGCTTTTTTTGCAATAATAGAAAGAAAATCGCCATTTTTACGCTCATGTATTAATAAAATCTGCACTCTTTCTTCGAGATTCAATTCTGTATTCTTTGGCAAACTTTCTTATTGATACGGAAAACTATTTAATTCTCAATTCTGGAATTAAATTTTGTATTATACTCAATTTTAAATTAATTTCTTACTGTACTTACGACGTTTTCTTTGCTGTCAACTTCAATAGATATAAAAATACTTCACTCGTCGCTCTTCAATTGTTTACTGGTGAAACAATTGAATCAGTTAGCTAATGTTTTATGCAAATTAGCAAGGTTATTAAATTTATGCAAAGAAGTTAACTGACAAAAATGCATTTTTTTAAATGTTAAAAAATAGAATTTTTTCGCTTCTCAACTTTGAAATGATCTTGACTGCATCTGTAAAAATATCTAATTCTTTGATTGGGAAAATTCTGTTCGAATCCAACATTTATAATTAAATATATAGAGATAAACACTACATTTTTGGTCAAACAGATGCTTTTCTTTCCTGCTCGTTTTTTTTTAGTTTTATTTCTATTGTAAAACATACAGACACGACCTAAATTATTTTCTTTGTTAATAGTCTGATCATTTAAACCATTTCAATTAAATCCGTTCGTTTCCGTAAACTGTCCTCGATTTTAATAAATAATAATAAATAATTCTTAATAAACAATAAATAATTCTTTATTGATCACAGAAAGTGTGTTAACTGGAATTTAACTGATGAGCGTCACTTCTGCAACTTTCGTCTTTTCTGTGTATTTTCTAACGTGGTTCGCGACATGGCGTCTCTTCCGTGTTTCGTTATTTCGTAATTCGAACCAGCCATTTCAATTACGAACGTCTTTCGGTGCCACCCATCGTTAGGTGCATGCCCACTTGCTATTATAAATGTATTATGAAACACGCATTTGAGAAGAATCATTCTTTCTTAAGAAGAAGATTAATGCGTTCATTGTTTTTCTTGTTTTACTTTCCTAGTTATTATGTATGCATAACAAGAGATAGAACGGGAATCGTGTTAAATTTCATCCTCACAGTTTTTCCTAAACCTCCACGTTTTGAGATTTCTTCAATAGAAATATACTCAATAATGGCCAACAAAATTCGTGAATATGTACTTATGTTTCTGTGTATATTGGCGTCTATTTCGCTTGTTATTGCAAAATGGGATAAGTATTAAAAGAATGTCATGGTGGCTTTTATATGAAGAACACAAGTAGTATAGAAATGATGCATTCTGGGGTACAAAAATTAATTAGTATATAAATTTAATATAAAAAATTTTTTTTCGTAAATAAATTTTTTTTTTTAAATATTAAAAAATTTTTTTTTGAGTTATATTGAAATAAAGACCGATACAGTATATTATAATTTGTATAAGAATTTAATAATTTGTATAAGAATTTAATATAAAAAAACCGATAACACAACTCNAGTAGTATAGAAATGATGCATTTTGGATTACAAAAATTAATTAGTATATAAATTTAATATAAAAAATTTTTTTTTTCGTAAATTAATTTTTTTTTTTAATATTAAAAAATTTTTTTTGACTTATATCGAAATAAAGACCAATACAGTATAGATTATATTTTAATTTGTATAAGAATTTAATATAAAAAATTGATAACACAACATCGAAACTCGCGCCCTCTATATTACAACTTTTTATTTTTTATTTTTTTTTAAATTATATCGAAATAAAGACTCATACAGTGTAGATTATATTTTAATTTGTATAAGAATTTAATAATACAAAACGGAATTTAATAATATAACATAACTTTTTATTCGATTCACCCTTCTATCATACCCTGGAACTTGGTCGTGTAAACCCCGTGCTATCTCTTTGTTTGAAAACTCGCGCCATTCTCAGTTCTAACATGGAAGCGTATTGTGTTTAAAAACGATTTGTTCCTAAAAATATGATTTGGTGTTAGTGTTTAACGAAAATGTGATTGATTTAGGTAAGGAAAATAACA